AAAACAATATTAGCCAACATTATGTACTGATGCCAAGAAAAAGCAACATTGACCTAGACTGAAATTACATTTAATTTCTGAAACATTTGTGGGGAATACCTAGAGGTTTCTGATCCTCACGAAAATGAGGGAAACAACCCTTCCCATCCTACTTCTAACATTTGGCAGAGAATTTAAGCTATTTAGAATATTGTGACAAATCTTTCAGTAAGGTTAATAATCTCGCCTTCATAAGATTTTGGACTGCAATAAGAGTATGCATTCTTATACTGAAGAGTTCAAATTTTGTCTTCACTGAAGAAAGAGGTCTTTACATTACAGATGCAGCCACACTAGTTTTTGAGAAAAAAAGGGAACAGTAGAGTGCTCCCTTCACTCCTTGGACACTGTGTTCTTCTCCTAAGACTCAAGGACATCTTAAGAGCATTACTTGAAAGTAAACTGGAAAGAAACACATGGCAATTCCAGTTTTGCCTGTATAACAATCGTTGCAGATGATACAAAAAGCAATTCAATCAGAACTAAAAAGTTGTTTCACAAAGCTTACTCAACCCTAAAGCCCCTAAAACAGCTCCCACGAATTTCCAGGGAAAGGCAATGTACTCTTGAGTACTCATGAAAGAAATATATAGATGCAAATGTTGGCCTGCCACAAGACAAAGCACAGACTATTCCTTGTCTGCTCTTACCCAGTCTAAACACAAATGCAGTTACCTCCAGTGTTTAGGAATATCCTCCAGCAGTGGAAAGTTCTGCAAAAAATGTCATGCAGGAGTTGCGAGAGAACACAGAAGCTGAATGTGTTCCCTAACTAGAGGCATTATCCTATCTGTATCCCTGCATCATTAAAAATATTTTTTCTCCAACTGCCAAAAAAAGTTCAGAGTTTGAATTCAGGCCTAGCAGTAGGGTTGGTAATGCAACCATCAAGTTATGAGTTCTGCAACAAAAAAGAAAGTAAAGGCATACCTGTATTGCTTATGTAGCAACTTCTCCTGCGCAACAGGGAAAAAATGAGAAATTCTAAAGGAAACTGTCTGGAACCTTTAGAAAAAAATCAGGGAATGACTGGAAAATAAATAATCTTTAGACAGAAATAAAAATGAGTCCAGAAACGTGTCCCTACAATATCTAACTGGAAACGTTCAACTCTATAGCTGTACTCAAGCATTACAGCCACAATAATGCCTACAACACTGTGGAATGAGGATCCAGCTGGCTGAAAGTGAGGTAATAGTTTGTAATAGGTCAGAGTTCTAAAAAAGCACTTTTACATCTTACAAATCCAAATGAAAAAAAAAAAAAAGGACACATTTCATACATGTTGGGCTTTCCCACCAGAACTGTACGATAATTAACTCCACACCAGGACCCCTACCACACTAAGCCTTACTCATCTTCAATTATATGCTGCAGCAAAGATTTACCAAGCAACACCTAAACTTCAGTACAATATGAAACTTCGATTCTTAAAACTTTATACACACAAAATATAAAATTACTTTTCTAGGATGGGGTAGGGGAGGGGGATTCTCCTTCATGGTACTTGGACTGAAAAACTAGTTTTCAGAGACTGCCACAAATATAATTCACAGTTTCTTGCTGTCAGGCTTTTTCAGCTACATCAACGTAGTACACAACAATACTGTTAAGTCCAATAACTACATTGGATGGACATTCTCGGGAATAAGAGAAAACTAGTGACAAAAAATACCCGAAAGGTCTCCTCCTAACAACGTCTCGATTTTTACAGGGTTGCAGTTTGTCTATGTTACACGTTAATGCCATCTCACAAGAGCAGCAGGAGAAGGCTTTAAAATCTTTTTCCTGTCCAAGTGATCCAAGTAACATAAGCATCCACTTACCAGAAATAAGATGAGAAACAAGGCTTTTGTTACAAAGACCGCAGTGAACCACACCTTCCCACACCAAAATATGGTCAACCAGGGATTTTGGCCATGCAAACTGCTGGTCAGCAGAAAATTAAGCATGCTAATGGACAAACATTAATTCCAATCATATATTTAAAATGATCCCAAATACTACTAGTTAGCTACACTGAAAGCGCCTGCAAAATATATGTAGTGAAAAATGAAACAAAATATTAGTGATCACTGCAGCACTTAGAGTGATACTAGTCTTAAGTGATGAATCACCTCAGAGAAAATATGTTAGATGGGACTTTGAAACAAAAAAGTAACATTAAAAGGTGCACCTGAATATTACAGACTAAATTTACAAAACCTACAATAAGGTAAAATATATATCTTTTGAATATTCAGCAGCTTTTTTTTAAATTTGTTTTTATTTTTTGAGAGGCTCATGAAATTTTAAAAAGGGACCACTAACTAATCTCAACCATGCTTCACAAAACAATAATGGCTATTTCATATTGCAGTTACCAATGTAATGCAATTAGTGCTTAAAAAATAATCTACACTTTTTCTTTTTTTTCCTTTTTAAACAGAGACCTTTGGAGGAAATATGGTTGTTCAAAAGCTTCTCGAAAAAGAAAGATTACCTGAATAGTAAATTATCACAGATCAAGTGTTGTGTTTAAAAGCTTTGCAGTTATGAGTATTACAATCTTCAGGTCTCAGGACATTTAAACTGAGAAAGTTACGTGTTTGGTTTGTTGTTGTTTCTTTTTTTAAATCCACTTCCTAACCAAAGCAAATAAAGAGTACTCAACTTCTCACTATCTATTTACAATTCTTAGCCTACAGTCTGAAATGACAAGACAAATTCTCTTTTAAAACTGCAGCATTAAAGGGTAGGCACACCATTCTTCTGCTGCACGATTGTCACCCACTTAAACATACACATACAAAATATTTAGGTTAGTAAAATGAGCACTCCACGTACACTACAGTGACAAGTTTTATAAAACTCAACTCATGTTTCTTAAATAAGGACAACTGCAAAAGGTTAAACCTCTCTCAAGAGTAAAACTGTGTTACTTTTTTTTTTAACTTGCAACAAACTTTCTACCATAACCTCCAACAGCAGATGAAACCACGCCTTAAACTGCGCCTTTATTGCAATCACCAGCTAAACTGGACCATATTGCAGAGTTTATATACTGCTACTGAGCTTAAACTGCTTTAAATGCCAAGATGACAACTAGAAAGCTACAAGGAACCAGGATTTTGAGGACTAAAATATGTTAAGTAAACAAAAATAAAGTATACTTGGGGCCAAATGCCCAGTCCATTTTAAGAATGAGCAGTGCATATTTAAAACAACAGCAATGGTGTGCCTAACCTTTGAAAATATGAAGTTGCTGGGGAGGGGGAGAGGCTAATAGAATCCATTGTTCCAGAAGTCATTCAGAATCCCTAGGGCTACCTAGGTCACCCTCCCATGAACTTTGAGAGACCACTTTCACTGACATCCCTTAATGCTCTCACACAAAAACTCCAATGTTTCTTTTGGTTGTGCAAATGGGGAAAAAAAATGCTAAGTCTGTCTACCTTTTGCACAGATTAAGACCAAATTGCTTCTACCTGAAGAACCAGCAATTATGATTTGGTCATGTTGTGGTTAAGTCCAGTAAGTTCCACTTAGTTACTGACCACTCCCGCAGAAAGTATCAAAGATAAAAGTTCAGTACAAAACTTTTCCTGGATCTCCATATAAGCATAAAGATACCACCATACTGAAAAAAAAACCAGATTTGTGGTTTACGGAGTGCTTTTTTTTATGGTGTTTAAATGCTTATTCTAGCATGTGCTAAACCACTATCAAAATAGATTAAATAAAAACAACAACAAAAAAGCAGGACTCAATTCCTGCTACTGGCAACTGTAATATTTAAAAAGGAAACACCCATTCATTGAGTGTTCGACCCTGACAGTATTACAGATAGATATGATGCAGAGCCTGAATTAGATCAGGCTACCAGTGTTTTACTTCTTCCCTGAACATTAACAAGCTCCTTCACTAATGTGGATATTTGGGCAGACTACTGAGGTTGTAACGTTTGAGATCACCATTTTGTGGGCTATTTTTTTTTTCCTTTTTTTTTTTCCCAGTATCACAGTAGTTTGTTACACAAATCCCCCATCCCTGGATTAGAGTCTTTTAAACTAGCTGTTGGGACCACATAGTTTAGTAAACTCAGAACCAAGTCTGTAAAAAGTGTAAAGGTCACAAAGAACCGTAGTTCTGGTATAATGAGGCATACCCTAATACATCATTTAGTGTACCCTGACTGCTCCTGACTGTGAGAAGCTTGTCTTCCGTGAGATAAGGCTACATCCTCAAGCAGGTGAGTGTAAATATCACCCTTCAAAAACACCAAATAAAATTACAGCGAAGGTAGTGTTATAAATAATTAACTGACATTTTCTGAAGGTAGTGTATGTAAGTTTTCCCTCCCCTCCCCTCCGGGTGAGCACTAAGCAGATGGTAAGTACAGTTAATTTAGAAAGAAAACAGTGGAGAGCCTAATTAGACCCAATTGATTATCTATCTAGTCGACAAATCTGAGTTCAAGAGAGGTACCATTCCTAAATAATTTGATTTAGCTCAAACCTTTCAATCAACTGGATCAACAAAAAATAAGAAGGGGAAAAAAAAGATTTCTGAAACGTTTTTGAAGAATGACAGTCTGATTTTCATTTTAAAATTGCCTGGTTTCAGGAGAGTGTCAGTTTAACAAAGTGGACTTATTTCTATAAAGGCAGATATGAAAAAATCCAACATCAGAAGTTCAGGCAGGCTCTACAGGCAAGATGTCCACTTCTACAGATCTGCATTCTTTGTGAGGTAACTCAATTCTCTATTACAGAGAAACATGCAAAAGGCAAAAGAAAAGAAAAGGAACAAAGAAAGAAAGAAAGAGGGCAGTGGGCAGGTGAAGGAGTGAAATTGTGCCATACTAGGCCAGAAAAATTTACAAATGTGACATTCAGAGCACATCTTTCACCTGTGTTCACATAAGTCTATGCTAAACTGCAAAGAAAAGAGCATTGCAGCAAACAGGAGACTCAGGTGCGCTCAGTGATGGTTGAACTATGCAGTAGTGCTCACCCAGTTTGCAAAGTAATTGGCACTCTACAACATCCCTATTCATCCTTCAATTCATTCGCACTTTGTGCTGCTTCTCCCTGGGGATCTAATTCAATCTTTACTGAAACATCCTGCCCCTCCGACCTCATTAATTTCATTTTTTTCTTTGGAGGGTTTTTCAAAGTGCCCAGCCTCTCTTTAACTTTGTACTCCAGTGTACTGTGGGGGATCCCATAAATACTCTGAGCTTTGGAAACACTCATTTTCCCGCTCATAACCACAGAGATTGCTTCCTCCAGTATCTCGCTGTTGTACTGTCTGTATCTCCCTCTTTTCTTCCTAGGTTGCTTGGAGCCAGGATCTCCCTCTTGATCTGAGGTGGGATATGGCTGTCCAGAGGTAGACTGCTCAGCATCTGAGCCCCAGGAATCTGGTCCAGCATCCAGCAAACTTCTCCTATTTTGTTTTGGAAGGATAGCCCTTAACTTTTTGCTAAGCGCGCTCTCCGTTTGTGAACCCATTACCAAAGAGCTATAGCTGAACTGGTCACCAGTGCGGGACTCCCATGAAAGGTCCATGCCTCGAACTTGTGGTATCTTTAAATCCACAGGAGATGAATGGCTCACGTCCTTTTTCCCATCCTGCTTAGTTTGAAGTGCCATTTTTTGAAAGGCAGAGTTTTCTGTAAGAAAAGGAAGGTCACTGATGTTGCTGAGTGCACCATTTCCCCTGAATTTCATGCGGCTGAAATTGAATTCGTAGTGTGGTTTTGCCCAAGAAGCCTCCCTGGATAATATTAAGTGCTGTCCATGATTCTGTAGTCCAGATGGCCCATGGCTGGCAGCTGTAGAGAACTGGTTTCTGCTCAGCAGTTCTTCACTAATCTGGAGTGATCGAGCCAGTGGTACTTTAAGAGATGTGGAGTGGCCATAACCTTCCCTGGTTCCATCCTGCAAGCTTCTTGGAGGTACCCCATCACCACTCTGTAGTCCCTCCGGATGGTGCTGGCTGGGTCTCCCAGGTCGCCTAATTGGATGGAAGGAAACTGATGTGAGCAGGACTTGCACAGGTAGGGAGGGATGGGTGAGGGGGCCACTCCTTTATTAGAAGGCCTTGCTTGGGTAACATCACTTTTTGTGTTATTTATTTTTCTCTAAATTTTTTTTTATTACTTTAATTTTTTTTTTAAAGTCTCAGCATCAGTCAGTTTTAAAACTTGTTCGCAAAAAAAGAGAAGCTTTTTGGGCAAAGAAAAATGAAACCTGTTGGCTGGTCTCTGGTTGGGTTCACAAATTCTCGGAGTAGAAAAGACTTCGCGCAAGCGTCTGAAAATAGCACCTTAATTACAAAGTAGTAATCAATCGCCATAGATCTACACACAACTGTGTTACTGGTGTGACGTTACCACTAAACAAGCACAGTAATAAAAGAGTAAGCCAAAGTGCAACATATTCAACATGTAAATATGACTGCCACCTGCAGTATCTACACACAGGTGGAAACCCTGCATAGTTTGCTTACATCATATTGAAGAATTGCTGCTCAGGATAAAAGAAAAAGCTTAGCAGGCCTCAGAAACATTTGCCTGACTTTCATTAAGCACCAAATATGAAAGCTGGGATACTGCAGATCACAAAGAAAACCACTTACACTAGACTTACCAAACTGCTCTCTTAACAACTAATTGCATGTAGACAGAGCCCTGAATCTCATTTGATAAAAAGCATGCCTAGGAAAAGGAAGATCTAAGCGCCAACTGTCATCCAGATCAAGGGTTAACAAAAAAAAAAAAAAGGCAGTATGTATTTTTACCATTTCCCTTTCATCACAAGTGCTCTTTCTATGAAATTAAGTACTACTGCTGCAGAGAATCACATCTATTTTAATGCTTTGATTGCTTAGCCCCCTATAGTTATTAAGTCACATTGGTTTCAAAATCCACCTCAAATTTCTCCATGTTCAGCATACAAATTAACAAAGAGAATCTATTTTAATGCTCTGGGACGCTATACTGGCGTCAAGCCCTCCTGGCTAAGTCAGCATTACTTAAGGATAGGATACATAGTACTGAAAAGCTACATTATTATTTTTAACATCACACTGGGATTAAAAAAGAGTCTTTAGAGAAAAGACATCCATTGCAAGAACCTGGCATGTAACATACACAATGCTTGATACACATGCTGTTCACTTCTCTCTGGGATGCAACAAGTCATAGGATGTGCACAACAAAAGTCAACAAGGATTCAGAACAAAATCCAGAGAAATGGCTCAAAGTTTGCCATTCCAAAGAACTCTCTCAGACAATGTGCATTCTCCACCCCTTCTACAGCATGTATCAGCATCATAGGGTGCACCAGTGATTCTACACCTCAATAAAGGTCATACAGGCAGTGAATAGAGAGTTACACCCGACTTAGTGATGCTGAACAAACTGCAGCCAGCCTCGTATGCCACACACCTGGACAAGTAACCACAGGTGCAAGGATGCCACATCCTCTCTGGACCCACAGGACTGAGCAGGACAGTGCCAGATGCTGGCCCTGCCATCCCTGTGTGTTGGACTTTGGCCTTCACTTGATTCACAAACAAGGGAACAAACAGTACAGAGCCTCAGTGGCTTTTGCTGCCTTCCTAGGAAAATAAAGATGGAAATAACCTGTTCAGAATTACAGGAGAAGTACTGCTAGGGAAGGTTTATGCTAAAGAATTGTAAAAAGTATTAAGACTAAGTTTTAAAGAGGGATTGAAGTATTTTATTAATAGAAATATTAAATGGAAAAGTAATCTTGAAAAGAGAAATCTGAGACAGTATATTTTTCCAAAGAGAAATGCAAAAATTCAATCAGCTGTTAGCAGTACATGGGAATGGTGGTGGAAGAGGGTTGCTAGTTGAGATTTTCAAGTTTTCAAAGGCTATCATAAAGCTAAATCCAGCAATTAAATAGCACTTTAAACCATATGCTATTTCTGTACTTCAGTAAAAAATATTTGTTCACAGTAGCTTCAAGATAATCAACACCCAAACCCTTTCTTTGTCCCAGTCAGCCTCTCCAGTACCCCCCTGACCAAGAGTAAAGGGTTTCTAAATGTATGCAAATGGTGACCATTAGAAATATGAAATCTAAAGATTGGTTTTTTATTTAACAGTATTTCACACCTTGAACTGATTAGGCAAGAGTAGTACACCACATACTTTGTGATTATTTCTAAAAAAACCTTGTTCAGCACTACAGAACAATCACAAATCCAAAGTTACATTTAAAGTTTTCTGAACTACCAGACTTCCTGCCCCATGTCCTCATCTAAGTTGTGGTTCATGCTAGGAAATATTAACAAAAATCACGCAGTGATTTAAATCTAATTCAGCATGGTTTATCACCCAAATCGTTGTTACCTCTAAAATAAACTTTCCTGTTTAGCTAACTTTGCCCTAAGTGAAATGAAGTCTAAATATACTGCAAAGCCTCTAAGACTCTTCATGCACTTATTTGAACTTGCATGTTCACAGCAATAACCTATCACTAACCCCAAGAAACAGGTAATGCAAGGATCTCTGGATAAGCACCAAATTGGCAAAACTAACAAACAGATATTAGAGTCTTTAACTGCAACTTAAACCTGTCTCAGTTGGCAACAACTCTTATTTGGCAGGTGGGGTGAAGGTATTTGCCAAAGGTACAAGTTGAAAACACATTACACTCCAAAGGGTTAACACCAAAAGAAACTTAAAATTACCAGGAGCTAAGCACACATTTTTAGTAAAAAATTGTTTTAAAGGTCATAGTAAGTTGCTTTCTCTTACCCATTTCCCGAAGTACTAGAGCACCCTGGAGAGTGACTCAGAGAGGTGCTGCCAGCACCAGGACTCTTCTTAGTGGATAAATCAAGCACACCGTCTGTAGAGACAAAAGAATTACTTCAGTGTTTGAAGAAGCAGGATCAGCCATGCTGATCTTGTCTTCAGCTGAAAAGAAAAAGCAAATCTTCTGAGCTGAAGTAATTTTTAGCACACATTTTTTTTTTGGTTTATTGTATTTTTGAACAAAATAAGGCTTGGGATTTTTTTGCAATATGGTTTACGTGTGATTTCAATATAGTCTTCAGAAATCACAATAAAATTAACAAAATTAAAAGTGCATCTGTTACAGGAGACATAGCATAACAAATTACCTACAAGTGACAGTTCTGGATACAACAGAGCCTATCACATAACTATCTTTCAGTGGTCCAGAACTGAGACAATCTCCAAGATTTGTCAATCTGAGATATTCCCCTCCTTAAAGGGAGGCTGCAAGCCAGTACTAGGATTTTTTTTCTTTTTTTATCCAAATCTCTTGTAGGAAAATTCACTGAGAACTTCATACTGGAAATTAAATTAACACACACATAGATGTGAGATTCCTTCTCACATGGCAGCCAGCTTCATCTTTTTTTTTTTAATATCTCCAAGGGGTCCCTACTGGAAAAGCTGCTGCCTTTCACCTCTATTGTGTCATTTTATTCCCTCTCTTCCATATGCCAAATTGGTTTTCCTGTTAGACTGCTTCCTCCACTCTCACTAATGGCACATCCTCAAGCTCCCCCATGCTCCCCTGCAAACCCTTATGTAAACTCTGCCTTTATAGGCACCAGAAAAAGGGAGCATGTTTCACCAGGAAAGCCTTGCTCCTGCTGCACTGAAGCAGCTGGAAATTCTAGTCATTTTAATAAGTGCAACATTGTCATTGAAGCAGCCCAGACATCTGAAGTTCCTGGAAACTTTGAAACGAGGAATTTATGAGGCAGAGATAAATGAAACCTGTTGGCAAGGTGAACTTGAGACATATGAGAGCTCCTCACTCATTCCATCTAATCAAGTGAATACCACCCAACACAAGAACAATGTAAGGCAGCTTTCAGATCGCTTAAAGTTCTCATTTGACATATGGAGAAAAAACATGATAAACAGTGAACTAGAATTAACTTACGAAAAGCTGTTCCACCCACTGCATTTGGGAACACACCATAACCCAAACTTAAGCAAGCAGATAATTAAATTTTCTTTTTGAACAACACTTATGCAGGCACAAGAGACACAGACTGGATCAAGTCTTTCATTCTTTTCAAGAGGCTGGACAGCACAGGCAGCTGCTGGAGGCACTTGCATCCATGCTTCCTCCTCAGAAGAGTCAGTATGACCTAGAAGCCCCTGAGGAGAAGCAGAGCCAACCTCACACCCCAGGGAGAAATGTACAACTAGCTGGGTACCCTTCAACCCCCTAGAACAAACTGTAGCACAAAGCACCACTAGCAATCTTTCATGACAGCCTCTGAAATCTCTCATTAACAAGTTTGGCAAAATCTCTTTCCAATTACATTAAATGTAAATTGGGAAAAAAATTTACATCAGCAAACAGATTACTGTATAATTCAATATGCACATGTTCTACTCTCATAACGAGCGTTATGAACACCATACATTATCTTACAGCTTTTTCCATCACATGGTAGCTAAAGAACAGTTCGTGTTCATGCTTTTTTCTTCACCATACCATCCTCTAATTAAAAGGGAACAAACCAAAAGCAAAACTGATTCTCTCCCTCTTTCTTTCAGCAAAAAGTTTAACAATGAGAACAGTTTAACATTTATAAACATACATGCAAAACACACTCACAGAATGCATTTATAATAAAGACAGCTAGAAACAAATGCCTATCAGTACAGGTCCACATTTCAAGAGAGACACTATTCAACCTCTCACTGCAGTGTGTAACTGAAGTGCAACGACAGCTTTCAGTAAGTGCTCTAACTGCGGTATGTGTCCAGATGTCCAAGCTGCATATTACTGGACACATAAAATTAACTTCTTGACAAAAAGCTTCATAAACCAAATTTAAAAGAATAAAGGGATACCTACTTTTCTGTCACAGCTAGAAAAAGGCTTTTTTTTCAGGCAACTTTTCCATTTGCAGATGGACAGCCTACTGTGACAGAATGACTTCAAGCACTAACATTTTTCTGAAGAAGGATAAAGGGTCTAATTTTAATCAGTACAATACACTTAGGATTCAACAATTTCAGAAAAGAAAAGTTCATATACTATATCACTCACAGAATTTGCTCCTTAAAAAAAAAAACATTTTTGATGGAAAGGAAGGTTTTTGAATTAAAATAAGCTCTGAAACACTGTTAGGATTTATTCAATCTGTGCTCTGCAGAACAAGTCTATTTTTAAGGTAGAAAAGAGACATTTCTTCCAAACACACAAACCTGGAAGTTTAGTGCAGTTCATGGGTATAATTTTCATAGCCTTCACAAAGCAATTTCTCACAGACTTTTTAAAGATACTCTTCTCACACCACAACCAGAAAGGAAATAAATCAGCCTTTCAGTCAAATTGTGCACTAAATCTTCAGAGAAGAGACAGCATTATGATTTTTATGACCATGTGAACTTCTCTTATGAGCAAGTCTATTTTGGCAGACTCTTTCTTGCATTTCCCAGTAGGAACAGCACATTCATCCTTGGAGTCTAGAGCATGTCCATCCCCTTTGCCCTTCTTCTGAAGAATGTCTCATGTCTATGGGTCTACATTCTTTCAAAAAGCCTTTTCTCTCCCAGCCACACTGAACTAGTCATTATTTAACTGTAAAACCATCTACTGCTTTTCCACTTTAAATTATATGCAAAAGTGCAACCTTCTAATTGGTTCTGCAATAAGAATGCCATTAATGGACTGCCACAGGATGCAAGACACTGGTAAGAGTCCTACCTTGTTCACTAGGTTCTGACTGAGACTTTCTGACAGTAAGGTCCAGAGGTGAGTCTTGGTCAGCCATGAGCAGTTTGCTGAGCACAGGGTTCTGAGCAGTTGCAGCCGTGGGAGAGGAGGCGACCAGAGATGCTTTCAGCAGGCTTTGGTTCTTTGTGCTATTGGGCTGGCTGGAGTCCTGAGTAGAGCTATTTTTTGAGGTATATTCAGCAGCAAACTGTCGGATCATTCGCTGCATGATCTCACGGGCCACTAGGGGAATATTTGGGTCAGAGACCCTAGGACTGTCTGCAAATATTAGAGATTTCTTTTAAGGAAGCACTTTAAGTAAAACAGCTTTTATATTAAGTCATTGTTTATTTACCAAAACAAATCCAGGGGAAAAAAAAAAAAAAACAAAGATAAAATAGTTTCTGTAGAAAATGTACTTTAGCCTTAGAATACCTGAATAAGAACCATTGCTAATTGTGGTACAGCCTTCCCAAAATAACACTTTGCTAAAAGAAATATACAATCTCATATTTTGTTTTAAAATATAGATATATTCTACCAGACCTTTAAGAGGTGTGGAAATGAAAAGGAGAGCTTAAGTGCCAAGTAATGGAGCTCATCCAAAAATATTGAACAGGTTACACAGTGGAAGAGTTGCATAACTTACCTGCAGCTACAGAAAGGTAAAATGGAAAATAAATTTGCAGCAGTCCCCTCTAAGTTTACTGAGAAATAAAGCCCTGTAGTTCTGATAAATTAAAATAATTTGCATGAAGATCAAATGTTCAAGTGTCTTCCTTCTCATTCTATGTATTCCTTTTGATATTTCTAACATTGCAATCAATGCAGGATCAGAAATCACCCAAAGAACTTGCATATACACAAAACCCCAAGATATGTCACATGACAAGTAATTCTATTTCTAGAGGAGCTGCTAAATCTATTAGTAACGGATGTGAAATGGAACAAGTAGGCATTGCAATTTATTTCTATGAAATAGTGTATAAATAAAAAGGTATTTGGGCATGTGGACAGCACAAAAATTTATTGACAAAAATCACTATTTTAGACCAGTAGTAATTTTTGATGAAAAAGTAAATCTGTAACTCCTAAATCCCAAAAGCTAAGTCCTGCCACTTCACTTGAAACACTGTGTTCTCTGGCCAAATCAGTTTTGTAGTTTTTAAACAAATAAACAAACCCCCCAAAAACCAAACCAACAACAACAAACACCAACCACCCACAATACTCCCAAAAAACCCCAAAGCACAGAAAACCACACCACTATTCCAGAAACGGCTCAAAAGGTTTGATTTTCTATTACCGAAGAAACGTTCAGAAAACAACTGTACAGTAGAAGACCAAATAAATCTTTAAAAGCAGCTCTCAAGAGGGAACAATAGAGAAGTGTTTACTACCTCTTTAAAAAAAATTGCCCAGGTTGAAAGGTAATCTATTGAGATTGAGCTATTAGAAGCATTAGGAAAATCTTCTGTGGGACCTTTCAGTGTTAGATTTGCCTTTTGCCACCATTTTTGTCAAAAGTACATCAATCCAACAAACCAGCTTTATGGTATGTGTAAAGGATGACTGACATGAAGGTTTGAGCAAGCTGCCTACAAATCAAAGAGCAGCACTAGCAGCCTGTTTCTTGATGAAACACCATATTGAGCTTTAAATACTTATCAGGCCTGAACTCCTTTCTGTTAAGCACAGCTTTCTACACCTAAGATCTTATACAGTCACCATGTACATTCTTACAGTAAATTTCTGTAAATCCTATAAATTTTGAGGATGTTTATGTAAATATGTAACCATTTTCTTCAAAACATCCTGTAGATTTTACTTGTTCTTAAGTATCAAATACTACAGTTTTAAGAAGACACCAAAAAATGAACCAAACCTAAATTTTGGTACATTTATAATCTCACTTGCTTCCCAAATGGTCCACAAGGACACCAGCCTGAAAAAGTGTGAGGGTTTTGTTCTGCTGTGGTGGCATTTCTTCTACTTTTCTAATCTCTTCACTATAACCTCCTGAAGGACATAGAAAGGCTCTAAGGAGGCCCAGAGGGACACAATTTGATGGCATGACCAGACAGATACCAACTGTTTGACATGTGCTTGCAGCATATACAAGTGGGGCTGGCAGGAATGCAGAGCTTTACGGCACTTGTGTTTTCTGAACGAAGAATCAGGCCCTTACTGTGCACCATGTTCATATGTTCATTTCAAAAATGTTTACATCTGAACATATTTACACATTCAGAAATAAAATATTACATATGCCTACAGCCATGCATCCTTGTAATCTGCAACTTCATAGAATCAGACCAGAATGACAACTTTCTAGCGCTGTTCAAGATAAATGCACTAATTTGGGTCAGAAAACTCTGTCTCCAAGCAGAAGGGTAGGTACCTAGCACATTAAAGGCTTCTTGCTTAATATAAAGCCTGTATGCTGAGGATTAAAGCTGTTCAGGAGTGGAAAATATGTGCTGGTGCCCATCCAGCATCGCTTGAAATCAACCACATATCTATCTTGACTCCACCTGTCCAGGTTTTTTTAGGAAAATAAAACTAAAATTAACTAAAACATAGACATTCTCTTAGAAGAGAAAATTCAGCAAAAAATATCAGCTATACATAGTCTGAAGCAGTACCTCTGAGCTTTAAAGCCTTAATAGCTTTTGTGTATTTTTATATCAAAATCTTAAAAGGGCAGTATCAAACAAATAAAGGATTTAATGATTTCATTAAACCAGAAGAAGGTCCTGTCCTGCCACAAAGTAAAGGTAACAGACAACGAAGTACTACCACTCTGCTTTCACTGGAAAAATACAAGTATTTGAAGGAAGCATTACTGGGTCAGAGTTGCCAGGGACACAAACTTCAGAGAAAGGACTAAGATTAATGGACAGTAAACCTGTTGAAGAAGTTTGCTGATCTTGTTAATTCCCTATTCATGTTCAGTACATTAATGTGTGGCCAGTGTTCAGAGAGCAGCTGCATTTTCTCTGATCTACCCGGGCTACAAAATACCCATCTCAAATGTTACTGGCAGTGAGGATGGAAAGAAGAAAAAAACTAATTGCTGGCAGGAAGCCAGGAGAGCTCAGCATCTCTAAGCAATGTAGGAACATTAGAGTTCTGCCATTCTTTGTGTCCTCTTTGGTATGACAGTGCCTTGGGATCTTATGGCAGTAGCATGAGTTAGATTTCAAGCAATCTAAATACAGGCAAGCTTGAAAATCATGCATTAAGGATTCAGAACTGACTTCCTGCCAGGCTTCTACCCCTTGCCTGTTACTCTTGCACCAAGCACAGCTTTGTCCAAGGAAGAAAAACAAGGCTATATTTTAAAAAAAAATCTCAAAGATTCTTAGACATCTGACATGTTTCATTATCTTTTTCTGGGTATCCAGCCACAGACAGAGTATTATACCATTCATTAACAAACTGCACTATCTGCTGCTGGCTCCTCAGTGAATTTAAAAAAGCATCCTTTCCTAAAAGACACATGTCATACATAAAGATTTAAGTTTAGTGGTAAACGAATGAGGTCTTAAACAAACAATTTGAAAATGATGGAAAGGCTTTTTTTTTTTCATCACCAGAAAAAGCAATATGGAAAAAACCTGTTTTCTCTAGACTTTAGTTTTCTTAAATTCCTTCTGGATTTGAAGATAAATGGGATAAACTCAAAAGCAAAAGGAAACATTAAGCTTACAAGAAAAAAAGAAAACTTAAAAAGGAAGCCTTGGAATAAAGGCATTATCTGAACTATCAGTAGTAATGCAATAACTATCCTTCCCAACATCCTCCATATATTGCAAAAAGTATAGAAGCATCATAATGTATAGCTTGTATTTATTCATTTGAGTCATAAAAGAAAGGCTAAGATACTGTTATCTACTTAAAACACCTTTAAATATTTTGGTCACTGGAAGGAGGGGCTGAGGACTGGCTACAGCAATTTCTAATTTGTTAAACTGAAGCCTTGCATTGTCCCCCAGCAGATAGGTTGGAATTACTGATTTGGCAGATTTTCTCACACATGGGTTAGACTGATAAGTACGATGTACTTTCATTCAGGATGCATTTGGAAGCAACCTCTGGATTAATGTTTCTCAGATTTGTAGAAAACAGTGAAATGAGCTCTGTGCCTTCCTTAAGAGCAGTTTAAGCAACAACTCTCCAGAAAATATTTAGGTGATTTTCTAGCACTGAGCATGTTCTTGGCATATTCTACAGCAATTCTTTTGTTGACCGCATTTTGAATTCTTCATATATTCCCCTTAGCACTATTCCAATAATATTTTATACTCTAGATTGTTGGGAATAGGGTAGGTAATCATTACCAATAGTGAAAAGACTGATGACCTTTAAGAAAAACTGCATTAGTACATATCCCATCAAAATAAAATTATTAAAGAAAAAAAAAAAAGAATACACATTACCCACCTACAACCACCACTGCCACTTGACCTTTCTTCCAAACAGCCCACCCACCTAAACACTGGCTATGGGAAACAGTTCTGCGGGGTAAGAACTGAGTCATCTCTCCAAAAGTGAAAACACCAGGGATCTCATGGAGAGATTTGGTTTAGGGTTAAACAGTTTTATGCTCCCTAGGCATCAATACTCTCTTCCAATGTCCCAAGCCCACACTGTTATGTTGCTACATTACTTCAGAGTCAATTTTTATCCTTGATAAATATATATAAAGAAGGTAACTGAAAAATACTGAACATTCCACTTGAACATCAGATCTTTGATACCTACATTGCATGCAAAAAGATCACAAGAGAGACCATTTCCCGCATCCTCCTCCCCCATTAAAACCAACCTTTTCTGTAAAAGACTGCATTGAGGAACTCTTCCGCTTGCCTTTCAAAACGAATGATTTTTGCTTGCTCTTGTCTAAGCAGAGCTTCTTGTCCAGCTTCCGAGGCTGGCTCATCCAGACTGACTAAGTGTTCCTGCAAAGATATTTAATATTTGTAAGATCTTCCAGACTCCAAAATTAATGACGTTCCCTAGGCACTCAATATTTTACTAAATTCAAAACATTTTAAGGTACTCAGCACACTTGAATTTATTTAAATCAAACCTTGTTTTTTTGGCTGCATCAGAACATTGTACTTTGTCCTGTTTTCTTGTTGTAAATTGGACTGGTTTGAAGGTCAACCAGAGGGAGAAATTAACCCTACACAAATACCTTGCAAGTGATTTCCACATGGAGCTACAATTTAATAGGAAAGTTACATTCA